CGAAGGAGAAGGAGAGACAGAGAGAGAGAGAGAGAGAGAGAGAGAGAGGCGAAACGGGACCGCAACAACAGGAGGTTGGAAGGAAACGCGACACCAAAGAGGAGGAGGAGGAGGAGGAGGAGGAAGGTGTATACGAGAGGAAAGAGGTTGATGGTTGATGCAGACAACTTTAGAGAAAAGAATATTGGTGAAAGTACGTAACTAGTGGCTCACGCAAAGGAGCTGAGTCAGGTAATAGATCCCAAATGGACGAAATGGAAGAAAGAGACGAAAGCTTCTGGGAAAAGCGGAATTTGGGGTAGGTAGTTAGAAGCGGAGGGAGGGAGAGGCAACCTTGAAGGAAGTAAGCGAAAGAGCCTGAGGCCGCCAGAAGATTCAAAGAAGATTCAACCCTGTTCGGTGCAGTCAGTCAGTGTTGATTCAGGTTCAACAGTCAGTCAGTCAGTCGCTGGAAGTGTAAGGAATCTTCTTTGGAGGCCACCGGCAGAATTCTGGTCACCGCCCCGGCAGTCGCTTGTTTGGGCCTGCCGCCCGGCAAGATCGGCGCGCTCATTGGATGATGGCATGCCGGCCGAGAAAATCTAGAACCTGGTCGGAGGGGCCTGGAGCTGGAGGCGACGGAACTCGTGGCTGGATGGGGTTAGTCTCGCCGTTGGGCACGCATCTGACTGGCTTGGTTGTTTTGCCCGGTTTTGCCCGGCTACCACACCCACCAATCACTGTCGACTTTATGGCTTCCATCCGGGTCTAGCCACTGCACCTGGTTTGGAAGCCTCAGGCATGACCGCCGTGGACATGGTAGGCCTCTGTCTGGCAGTTCTTGCTACTACTCTAGGTACTCATACAGGTACTCATAATGTATGGTGTATAATGTCGAGGTCAAGTTGGAAAGAAAGAGCCAGCCAGCCAGCCATTGATTGATACCTCAGGCTGGAATTCTCGCATCCTTCTACGCCTTTTCAAACCCATGCAAGCCGTCTACCTAGTACATTCCTGGGGACATCATATGGCCGTGCGCATTTGTCACTGCAGTGTCAGTGTTGTGTAACCTTAATCGGGCAAGCCACCGGCAAGCCACCGGCAAGCCACAATGATGTCACCTCCCAAGAGACCTTATCCGCAGGCCTGAGGCATCAAAGGCCACTAGGTATCAACACATGACCAAGTTACTGTAGTTACTGTGAATTACCTTACTTGTGTCTAATCAACAACCGCAAGCATCTTAACCTCTGTGACCTTGCTAAGGTTCTGATCATCCCTCAGCGAATGCCTCATGTTCATACTCATTTTAAATTAAGTCCCAACTTAAGGTTAATCGCACTCAATCCAAAGAATGTCTGAGTGAGCTCCGGCCCGTATCGACTCCCCCCCACTGGGGCTCACGGATCCTCGCCCTCAACTCATACTTCAACAGGATGGTGGCCTTCCATAACCACTAAGCCATGACCACTAAATATCTCACGCTGTCCAGTCTAACTTTGCCTACGTGACATCTTCTGCAGATTAAACAAAATGCTGATTGATAATCCAGCATCGGTCACGCCATTCCGATTGCGACTTTCGATTTCTAATCATGTTGCGGGCGGAGGATCTCCCCGCATTCTGCCAAAGAGTATATAATTGTTGCTGCAAAAGACACCTGAGCTCACCAAACAGACTGATGTAACTGGCATCATGTCGACTCGTACTGCAATCATCGGTCTCTCGTCCACCGCCACGACTTCCTGGGCTGCCAATGCGCATTTGCCGGGTCTGCGCCGGTCTTCGCGGTTCCAGATCGCCGCTCTCTGTAACAGTAGCCGGTTGGCCGCCGAAGCCGCCATCGCAGAATACGACTTGGATGCCAGTAGCGTCACTCCCTATGGCAGCCCGGGCGATTTGGCGGCGGATCGCACGATCGATCTCGTGATTTGCAGCACGCGAGTCGATCGGCACTATGAGACCGCGTTGCCCATGATTCAGGCGGGCAAATCGACCTACATTGAGTGGCCCATTGCCAGCAATCCGACCCACCTCGACGAGCTTCTCGCCGCCCGCCGCCGCAGTGGTGCTCAAGTCGCGGTGGGGCTCCAGAGTCGCTTTGCACCCCCCGTGCGTCGGATCCGAGACCTGCTCCAATCGGGTGAACTGGGTCGCTTGCTGAATACTGAGGTCCGCGCTTTTGGAGGGACCCTGGATCGTGAGTTTCTCCCGCCCGGATTGGCATATTTCGCCCAGCGCTCGGTCGGCGGGAACCCGATCACCATCGGCTTCGCTCATGGTACGTACCCTAAGAAAGGTGTCATGAGGCAAAACGTGCTAAGGAGACAACCGTCCAGTCATCGACTTTGTGCAATCGGTGGTCGGGGATGTGATCCCGGAGACCGACCACATTCAATTCCAGCTCCAGCGCCCGAGCATTCGTCTGCGCGAGCCCACCACAGGGTCGATCGTGGAGACTATCCGCTCCGATGTCCCTGATCTCCTCAGCCTCCATGGTAAGTGGCGCTTTCCAAGACATGGAACAGGGTCTACCTAACTAACCTCCATAGGACACTTGCCGGAATCAGCCCACGTGGCAGCCCAAGCTAGTCTAGTCGCCTACTTTAGTCGAGGCCAACCCTTCCCTGGGGACCCGCAGCTCACATGGACCTTGACCTTCGAGCAAGGTGCCGTTCGTCTCATCTCCCCCGCGGGTATTGTGCTGGGTGCAAACGCCTATGCGGAGCCTGTGACCATCTCGGTGCATCGCTTCGACACGGGTGAAGTGGAATCGGTTCCGTGGGCGTGGTCGCCCGAGCAGGAAGAGCTGCCTTTCAGTGCACGCTCCGTCCAGAGCTGCTTGGTGAGCTTGGCGGAAGGGGACTCAATTGGATATGTATCACTGGAACAGGCCGCTGCGCGGGCGCGGCAGATTGCACGCTGGCTTGACTCGTTTCCGGCATAATGATGTGTGAGAATGAGGGACGTAGATGCGCAGGTCCCATCGGATGTTAAATCACGGCGTGTATTGATGTTAAGATGTTCTATGTCAATGGACACTTGTCTCAAACCTGACGACTAATGGTGATAACCGAAGGCCATCAAATATGGAAAGTGATGGTGGTACAGTAGCTTGGGGTCAGTGGCGCTCGTGTCGGAGTAAGAGGAGGCCGAACACCTCGTGGGGGCCACCAGCCTGATACGGCTTTCACCTTCTGTCCACCACGCTTGGTGCCTTTATAGGGTCCTTTTTTTATCTGCAGGGTAGCTCATGATACCCCTGCTCCACAATAGAGTTCTTCGATGACTGACTGACCTTACTGAGGTTCTCTCTCCAATGAATCAGATTCCTCACAATCTTCGGTGCTGATCATCGTCTATCTTGAGCCGCAGGGGGTGGGGGCCATTGAGCCCGACAAGCTGCACGGTCGTCATCTTGTTTCGCGTTGAGAGGCTTTCGACAGGAGGCTATGAATGAATGAGAGAAATGGTCAATTGAACAAGAAGACCGAGCCTCGTGTTCAAGTGTTTGCCGCCCCTGACTTGTTCTGCACCTCGTACCTGCGGCGAAGTTAGGGTTCTGCGCGTCGACCGACCACAGCGTCGATCTAAATTTCTACCCCACTAGCTCAGGCGGTTATTAGTGGGTTCTCTTGGCGATGACTAGAGGAAGCACTTCTTTCTCCTCCTCTTCATCTCGAGCTAAAGTTTGTTTGGATATACTTCTTTCCAAACTTGTCACTCCGGTACCGGTCTGTTGTGCGAAAATTCCAATGCGAACAATCACAAAAAGCACCATACTTATTGATCAGATGCATGATAAAGGGTTCTGCAAGACTTATGCAGGAGACTCCGGGCCTTAAAGGAGAGGATTGGGGCCAGGTACGGATCCTGCGGTGGCAATGCCGTAGTGTCTGAAGTCGGCCCCAAGGATGAAACCACACGGCTGGCATAACAGGCTGAGAAGCAGAAACACCATGGTCGATTAGCTTTTCTACTACATGAAAAGGGACTATACTGTTGATCGAGGCGAGTACAAAGATGAACCCTGGCTATATAAGTCAGTGAAGACTGCTCTCCAGGATATCATCCCTCTCACCACAGCACCCGACGCTCTTTACTCCACACTCTTTATCCCACACTCTTTTGCAATCTCAAAGATGACACCACCCAAAGCAATCGCTCTCAGTCTGCTCCTCCTGAGCTCCTTGGCATCGGCGTCCGCCATACCCGTCCAAGCTCGTGCTGCGGCATCTTCCTCTACCGTAGCTTCGGCCTCATCGGCCCAAGCAACTTGCGGATGGACATACTTCCTGAACGTCGACAACTCTACCACCGACGATGACGACGCCGACGACGGGGAGGTTGATTCCAGCACTACCACCAGCAAGCGCGACGAGCACGAGCTGCACCAGCTCGCCCGTCGAGGCCGCACCACCAACAGCTACAACAACGGCAAGTGCGCTCTGGGGACGAAGATCTTCAAGCCGCAATACCCCGGGCCCGCGACCCTGGAGTCGATGCAGGGAAGCGCATTCCTCGGATACTATATCCCCAAGCTGGACCAGTGCCCGGCCGGGGCGGTCACCTACGATGTGATCACCGATAGTTCCGTGCTTACGGATACTGTTGCAGCGTACTGGGACTCGGCCAATACGGGCACAGGCCAGAAGTACATTGCCCTCGGGGCCAAGGTCTCACCCACCGATTCGTACATCAACGTTGACCATGTTTGTAAGTGTCCCTGGGCGGGTCGGTCTACGCTGTCGATCGTGCAGTAAGCTAACCGAGAATCCCAGACGAGTTGAAGATTGTCGATAGCTTCTTTTCGGCCATGATTGCCAAGTACAACTTCTGTAACAGCTTCAAGACTTTCTTCCTCACCCAGGATACGGAACACCCGACGGCGAATGGAGTCAAGAGCCGACTCCAGCGGCTCTACGGCATGGTGAGTGCTTCGCAGACTACATGGAAGAAGAAGGCAGCGCTTGCTAATGTGCTGCGTGCAGCTGCCCAGTAACACCTATCTGGACTTCGTCGCCATGGACAACCAGTTGAACAGCATGAAGGCACCCGTAAGTCAATCGCAATGCACATTACCCCGCTTGTATATTGAGGACTCTAGATGTTCGACGAGAACCTCAGCGGCATGCAAAGTCCCAAGGGCTCGACGAGCGAAGAGGAAGCCAACAACGCCCTCTCCATCATCAACACCATGGCCACGGTGATCTCGCTGCTCCGCGACAACAAGATCGCCGAGGTCTTCAAGACGACGAACAAGCGCATCTACGAGGCCTTCCTGGGAATTGACCAGCTCACCACTGGATGCAACGATCCGATCCCCGGCGAGGGCTGGGCCGACTCTTACTCGAGCTGGATGGAGGAGTTCCTCTCGACGCAGGCGACCTCGGTCTCCTCGCGGCTTGCCTCCATCTCGGGCCAGGTGACCCCCACCACCGACGCGTCCGGGCAGAAGAATGCCCTTGGTCAGGGTCTGGATGCCTTCAACGCCAAGTACCCTGCCGCCTCGTGGACTTGGGACGCCAAGCAGCTGCTGGACTTTTCGGCTCCCAGTGCCATTGCATTTGCTAAGCGTGGTGCTGAGAGCAGCGTCGCTGCCTGCACGCCTACCGCTTCGGTTTCTGCTTCGTCCAGTGCGGCGGTGGTTACGACCCATGCTGGATCCTCGGCTGTTGCGACGGGTGAGTTCTGTCCTGCACAACCCTACTTATACTGCTCTGCTAATGCATCACCGACCACCCAGCCTCACACATGAGCAATATCGTGACCTCCAAGGCGACCACGCACACCCCAGAGAGCGAGATCTCGAAGACCGTGCATGCCTCAACGACAGTGAAGTCGGAGACCTCCAAGCCGGTGACTACCCAGACAATCGAGACACCAGTCACCACCAAGCACTCCACCACCACCACCACCACCACCACCACCACCACCATCGAGGTTGCCCCCAGCTCGTCAGTCACCACCACTTCGACCACCTCGTCGTCGCATACCTCGTCCCCGACTACCTCATCCTCGACTTCGACTTCTTCTACCACCTCAGCTCCTTCTTCCACGACTTCTTCCGCCCCGTCCAGCACCACAACCACCACGACCATTTCGACCACCTCCACTACTTTGTCCACCACCACTACTACTTTGTCTACCACCACCACGACTACCACTACCTCCAGCAAGACTACCACCACCACCACCAAAACCACCACTACCACCGCCGCCGCGACCACCAAGGCGACCACGTGCAAGACGGCGTCCCAGTGCCCCAAATGTGGTCTCTTCTCCAAGGGCAAGTGCAGCGGAGGGTAGGTTCATCACCGGCTATTATCACTACCAGAAGCAGAAGCTAACTATATCCATCAGTGTGTGCAAATGCTAGCCGAATCTAAGGGAATTTCGACACGATGAAGGGAGACTGCTAATCAAGACGGATGTACGCACCCCATTACATTCTTGTGGACATAAATCGGTAGACTTTCATTCCTGCCTGTGCCAGCGTGTATTATTAGCTTATCTTCTCCACATTCCTTCTTCTAAAGAAACTGAGAGATCTTGAGGTAAACAACAACAGTATCAGTAGTATGTTGCTAGATCAGGCCTTCTCCGCGGCAATCTGCTTCTCCAGAATCACCCTCAACAGCCCCTCCACGTCCTCCTTCTCCATGAAGACCTCCACCCACCGCAAGCCTGTCCCATTCTGGATGGCATCCTGCTGCAGCACCGCGTCCAGCTCTTCCCAGTTGTTGGCGGTGAAGCTGTTCCGGGCGCCGTGGCCGTCCTCCGCCCCGAAGAAGTCCGCCGCCAGGTGGTGCCGCCACCGGGCCACGTCGTTGTACGCCTGCTTCCGGCCGTGGATCGCCCGCTCGATCGTGTACCCCTCGTTGTTGAGCAGGAAGATCACCACGTCCAGCTTCTCGCGGATGATCGTGCTCAGTTCCTGGACGGTCATCTGCAGACTGCCGTCGCCGATGAAGAGGACGGCCCGCGTGGGCGTGTTCGGGTTCAACTCGCGTTGCGCCAGCGCCGCGCCCAGGGTGGCGGGTAGCATGTAGCCGATCGACAGCCAGGTGATGGCGCCGAACAGTCGCGTGCCCGTCGGCAGGGTGAAGTCCCGGCCGCCGTAGCTGGCGGTCCCGGTCTCCGTGAGGACGACGTCGCCTGGGCGGAGGAGGGAGTTGACACGCCGGTAGAAGTGTTTCTGGGTGATGCGGCCGGTCGGCGGGAGGGATTCGGTGGGGATCACGGTCTTCTGGGGCGGATTGGTGGGCTTCGAGATGCGACCGAAGTCGAGGCTCTGCACTAGGCGCGTGACGAAGGCGGGCGACAGGTCGCGGTAGGTGTCGTCGCCAATGCGCACGGCCTTGTCGGTGAAGGTGATGGAGGTGGCGGGGTTGGGGAGGGTCTGGAAGCCTAATGTGTTGGTGTCGGTTGCGTGCAGCCCAAACTCGAGGATCAGGTCCGCCTGGTCGAAGTAGGTCTTGTGCTTGGGGTCGCCCAGGCGGCCGGCGTAGTTGCCGTAGACGTTTGGTTGGTGTTCGTCCACTAGGCCTTTGCCGGAGACGGTCGTGAAGGTTGGCCAGGAGGTCTGGCGCACGAGATTGTTGATTTCATCCAGGATGCCAATGGCACGACTCTCGCCGTCGACAAGAATCAGAGGCTGTTTGGCCGTGTAAACACGGTCGGCGATGCGGGTGAGGACGGTACTCTCTTGCGCAGTGGTCGGGGCAGCCGGACGCTGGATGTTGGTGGTAAGATTGGCGGCCGACACCAGTACGCCGGGCATGTCGTCCGGGATCTCGATGTAAACGGGACGGTTGTGGATCAGAGCTTGCTGCAGCACCGTGTCAATCTGCTCGGGCACGGTGCGAGGATCATTGAGATTGGTCTGGGCAATAGTGACGTGGGCGTGCATGGCGGCAAAGCGGCGGTACTCGCCGTCGGCAAAGGTGTGATGTACCAGGGCGCGAGACTCCTGGGATGGCCGAGGAGGTGTACCCACAATGTGGACTACAGGCGCTCTTTCTGCGTATGCGCCGGCAATCCCATTGATGGCGGACAACTCTCCGACTCCAAAAGTGGTGATCATGGCGGACAAGCCGGCCAAACGCGCGTATCCATCGGCTGCATAGGCGGCGTTGAGCTCATTGCAAGTTCCTACCCAGTGTAGCCCCGAGGGTTCGACATAGTCCAGCAAGCGCAGGTTGTAGTCGCCGGGGACGCCGAAGATGGACTTGACCCCGAGCTGCTGTAGTCGGGTGAAGAGATAGTCCGCTAAGGTGACGGTTTCGCTATCGGATTTGGTCATGGTGACGATATGAGGGCGAGGTGTAAGATTGCTAGAGAAGAGGAGAAATGAAGGGAGAAATGAGAGAGGGGAAGGAGGGGGTATGGAAGGACCTTAAATTGAGGCAAGTTGGAGATGGAGAACAATGCCGATGGGCCGAAGCCACGCGATCTTATCGCCGATAACGAGGGGGGGTGGGGTTGAGTCCACCAAGATAACAATCAGGGCTGGGAGAGTAGGCAGGATACAGCCTGTGGAAAGTACCAGATAGTCGCCACTTGTAAGTAGTATTTCACTGAATTCTCCAGGACTTCAGATGAAATGACACTGGTGTTGACAAGGTGAAGGTGAAGAGAAGATGGACGGTGGAAGGTGGGAAATTGGAGGCGAAAGCGTAGAAACCGGGAGCTTCCCCGCTCAGGCTCAACCGCGGCAGTTTCCCATTGGAGCAGGCGGTATCCAGCCCACGCTTATCGTCGTTCTTTATCGGTCCGCTCTTGCTATCACGTGCTTTCTTCCTCTGACCGCAACTACCCGAGGCCACCCGTTCTGCCTACCGCCTTTTCTACCGTCCTGAGAGTCTCCCATCCCTCTCTGGTTCTGCCGTGATAATCTTTCTCCCCTCACCTCCGAGATCTCCCTCAACACTACTTACCTACGTTTCCACTCCTTCCATTCTTACGTGCTAGATGCAGATTGCTTAGCTGTCTAGCTGGCTTCATGCAGCCAAACTGAGACAATGCAAACATTCAATATCCACCCCCCCCCCCCCCCGGCTATTGAGATCATATGTCTTCAAGAGGGCAATCCTACTCCCTTCTCCCATCGACGCGTCGGCAATCGGGGAAAGACATACTGCAGGACTCTGTGATGGACCATGCCAATCCTGGTCGGTACCAAAGTGATGTGCAGAGCTGATCCTGACGTGGTCGAATACTATGGCCAGCTGATCGGCGGAGAAGCGCCAACTACATGCTACTATGTACTATTTAGTGACTAATGCATGGGATCGGACTGCCGATCGAATCCTCAGCCCTCCTCGATTTCCGATCCGCTTCATCTCACAGCCTCTCAGCCTAGGCGAGATCAACAAACCTGATGAGGGTTTCAAAGAACAATCGTGTTGCTGCTTGTCTGTCATGCACTGCTGATCCCACTGAGGGGGGCCACGTAGACTCCATGCCTGAAATTTAGATAAGCTGCTAAGCTTCATGGTCTGGTCTGCGGGGTCATTTGGAGCTCTGGTGAATCACAGACAGCATGCTCCCCTGCACGTCGAGTCAATGCATCACAACTAGATGTACACTATGGGCGCGGTAGGATCGGCAATTGGGACAAAGAGACGGAGCTGAACTCCTCGAGTCGCAATGCACCATCAGTGTCGGAAATGGAAGTTCCGATTCTAGACCATGGACGGGTGTCTTGGTTGTTGCGCCTTAGGACTATAGTATGAACGCACGAAGCGAGGTCTATAAGAAGGGTTCACATCTCGGGGCTTGGAGCACATCACAAGCATAAACTCCCAAGTTCTACCAGACCTACAATCCGAATCCACATTTCAACGTCCAACTCTTGTATCCACACCATGTCTGACAAGGAAGAAGTCAAATGGGTATGCCTGGGCCTTCGTCACCTCTAACAGAACTGTAGTTGACCGATCACGCAGGATGCCTACTACTCCTCGGGCTTCCTCCAGACTCTGCTCGAAATATTTCATGCTCACGTATGTCTTTTCCCTCGCGCATTATCCTCGACAAGATTGCCCCGCATACTGACCACTGAATTTCACGCGAGCAGAAAGAGAAGAACACGGGCACGTAGTGCTCTTCACACATGCGACAGCTGCAGCTAACCTTTCTGAGTAGGCAATTTCGACCTCGGCCAGATCACCAAGCATGTATACAAGGGCGATAAAGAGGAGGCCAAGAAGTTTCTCAAAATTTGTGATGCCAACGCAGATGGCAAAGTGGACTTTGGCGGTAAGTCTTCCCATATGATAATCAATATCTTGCTGTATCTGTCGAAACGTCATGTTCTGACTGGCATGGTCCAGAATTCCTTCAAGCCTTGCTGGACGAGGACGCAAAACAAAACTACAAGAACGCGCTAGTCTTGTATTATCCTTCGGATACCGCCTAAAGACAACGTGTATCCCAACTGCCAATTTTACCTGCTATATAACATCTCGAATGGGAGCACTTACGGGCTTTTGTGGTATATCTTAAGGTTGTTGCGTATGAGCACGATCGTAGAGAAAATACTGCAACCTTTCAACTATTCATTCACCTGCCATTAGTTCGGAATCTCGTCCTACATCGAACATGCTTCTGTCGACACTTGCATGCTCCTGATAATGTATCCCTAGGCAGCGGTAGCCTAGTTGATCCTTCTTCCATCTGTTTACTAATCTTTATCTATCTTTCCCTTTCCCTCGTCTCTAGCTGGACCAATTTATGACTGATTAAGAAATTATGATTTGTCCCCGAAATCAGCTACGAGACTGTCCAAGAGAGTATGAGACGTGCTTAGAAGAATTCTCTCAATGTACAACGAAGATTACCATGACACTTGCTTACTGAAACCGAACGACATCAAACCTCCTCCCGTTCGCTGGCAGTGCTCGAGTTGGTCAAGCGGGAGCTGTCGATGCGGATCACCGTGGTGGAGTGGATGCTCGGCTTCTGCTCCATACTCTTCGTCTTTGACCGGTCCGAGGAAGGCAAGGAGAAGGCATTCTTGCGCCAGGACAGATTCTTGCTCCACTCGGGGCGGGGCAGCATGGTGAAGAGGGGCCGCATGTTGGAGAGACAGGCGGCGGTGATCCCCATCATGGGCTCGATACACGTCCAGACACTTGCAGTAACTTGGTCGTCTGTTACCTGGTTAGTAGGGGATAGAGTTGTTAGGATTCCATTAGAGGGGATGGAGGGTAGCTGACAGGTGATATCGCCTCCTGCCTCCGAAAGCTGGATCATCACCACCAGCCGCACGATGTCGAAGGCAAGGGTTCTGCAGGGGTCAGTTCTGGTGCCGCGCAGGAAGATATAAGATGACGTACGTGGTACCAATCAGGAAAATGCCCGACAGCATGACTTTCTGCGATCGAGGGACTTGCAGGTTCCAGACGGCTTTCATCGGCAACACGAGAATGATTGCGTCAGTCAAGATGTTGGGGATTTGAAGACCGTAGTAGAATTGGGCCAGGTTGATGCAGCCTCCCGGGAGATTGGGCTCCCACAGCTTCTTGAAAGGCATGCAGGTCACTGCCCCAATGAGGCAAACCCCAAAACACCAGAGAATCACGATGCATGCGACCACGTTCGAGGCTTGCATCATCGGACGAATGGAGAAGATTCGTTTGTAGAGCGCGAGGATGGAGAGTTTCACAAAGGTGATGCACAAGGTGTACAGGAATGTGCCGGTCGATAAGGTCTATTGACATTTTGGTCAGGGCGTTGATTCAGATCATGTCAGAACAAGGGGAATGACCTTCATGTAGACCACGAGTTGGTCCGGAGATACGTAGATGATGTGGGTTCCCAGGCCGTTGTACAGAACTAGTTCCACATCAGCAAGCGATCCAACCGGAAATCCCACCTTGTCGACATACGAACGACCCCTGCCACCGTAATACCATATTCAAAGACCTGGAAATAGTTGCTGGTCAGCATTAGGGAGATAAGGCCGCAGTTGACGCTTGGTTACTCACCAAGGCAACAATCATGAGGTAGTCATCCAAGAAGACCTTGGTGCGAGTGATACGCCGACACCACAGACGCAAAGCCACAGCCAGAGTTGAGACTACCAGCGCGAAACAACTGGCTGTGATCACCACATGCCGCAGGTTATCATGGTCGTATCCCTGCTCTCCCTGCGCGAGTGCACTCTTCATGATGTGGAGTCAGATATGGAGGATGAAGCGACAGTCAAGCAACAGGACGCAAAGCAGTACAGTAGTCCCCGGGCGTGTCAGGGGCCTGCTGGACATTAAAAGTATGGGCAGGCGTGGTATGAACGACCCCTCATTATGGTGTGGTGAGCTCGCTTAGATCGAAACCTGCTTCTTGCAAGTTGATATCACTTCGAGGCAGTCGCAAAGTTACGATAGCCATTGCTCCGCAATGCAATGATTATCTGGCGATAAGTACCGCCACCATGGCTCGACAGGAGAGATTGGTCACGCCGATGCGGTCACTGCTGCAGCACACGGAATTGTCATGCTGTGATCTGTCAGGAATATAATCTACCTGGAACTCCTTGCCGAAACTAAATGCAGTCGATTCCCGCCGAGGATCGGCGATCCCAGCACTGCATCGGGTTTGCGCATACGGATATATCAGATTCTGCGAGAAGAGACGCAACGGGACCGATCATCACGATGAACCAATCAATCTCGATGATCGCAGGGCGTGCAGTTGTCAGCGATATTACATCCTGAGCTTGGTGAGTTGAGACTCGCTTGGACATGTAGAGCCAATGACTTTTCCTACCCATCCAGTTAGGGTTCCCTTTCCCCCGCGTTTGAAACCTATCTACTCTAAAGAAAGCTCCCCCGGAATGTACGGTAATCGTATAGATCATCGTGGCACAACCCCTGCATGGGCCTTGACGGCTGCCCTGAGACTCTTCATGTCCATTCATCTCCAATGTGGTAGTTTCATGCAAGGGATGGCTGACTGACTGGCGTTTCCTGGAATTCATTGTCGAGGTTGGCACCTGTTCCTGGCATGATCGCCCATTCTTATTTCGACAGTACTGAAACAGGAAAAGGGGAAGGAAGATAGTTCCGAGAAGCAGCAGTGAATTGGTGCTTTGCTTGCTGTTACCGAGCTTGGGGATGAGGCTCTTCACTCTTTCCTGGAAGCTGATCTGAACTCCTTCCAAGACGCAGATCCAGTCCATCATGGATTGACCACACGTCTCTACCCCCTATTGCTACATCTAGAAATCTTTTCGATGGCCAGTTCGACCAGTCCTCCCCAGTTCTCCCCGTCGGATTCCCAGATGTGTGGTTCGATAGGCTGATCGTTTGCGTCAATAGTTGACCGAACTTTCGATTTTGAAGAACATGAACGACTGCAGCAGAAAGATCATGTTGCCGACCGAAAAGAATCAGGTTTTGAGATTGCAATCCTCCCAAGAACTGGCGTCAACAGGAAACTGCTTTGAAGCATGCATGTCTTTGTGACGATCAAGACACAAACAGCCCAGTTTCAGCGCCGGGTCTCTGGAGCATTGAGTTGCCAAGAAGGCTCATGACAGGCGAAAAGAAATGTCACCTACCCAGGTTTTTCAAGCACGGTCCAGCATTCGCACCTCTTCGAGCTCCCTCCAAGTCTCCGGGGTGTCAGATATCTCTAGAATATAGGGTTCTTGCTTGGAAATACACGGGAGGCGAACCATGGGTGTTCGTGAGATCGAGCCCGACGACATGCGCCTTCGTCGTCACCACCCGAACTCTGATCCGAAAACATCTTTCTCCAGGTGGTGCCTTTTCCACGATATCTTGCTAGATCAGGCAAGAGATCTTGTTTACCAGAAACTCAGAGGGCTACAGCCCGCCTAGCTGGAGTGAATTTATGATCCCTGAGATGCCACTCCAGCTCGTTCCCTAAACCTCAATCGCAAGACGACAGCGAGAGACACCCACATACGAGATGACCGGCGAGAATGATTCACTGAAGCCCACTTCGGCCAATTGGCCCTGCACCTTGCCACTGTTTGATTTCAGTCAAGTGCCTACGCGGCGGCTGCTACCGGAATATCCCACACACGAAGCTCAGATCTTCCTACCCAGTGGAACGGTGGCTGCCTTCCGTTCTCTGGTGCGCCAGATGGGTGCTACCGAGTTCCATGGTCACTTAGCGATACTGCAAGCCCTTTTGGCACGGCTCCTGGAAATCCGTGAGGGCTGCATCGGAGTCGCAGAGCCTCGACGTGGAGGGCGAAAAGAAGTCCAACCGCTTTCCCATTGCTTCAACATCGCACCTCAAGACACAGTTAACGAGGTCATCCACCGAGCCTGTCAGACTACCCTGGAAGTCCTGAAGTATGGGCCTGGGAGGGTGAACGATCTTCTCTGCCTTTATTCAAGGTCACACTCGACTCCTGAGCACCCTCTATTTCAGGTGCAACTGATCTATCAAGATCACCATGCTGGCAACCTCTCTAATATTTCTATCCAAGGTGATGCTGCAGCTCCCTGCGATCTCGTAATATACCTGACCCAGCAGCCTGATGGAACTGCCAGCATCACCCTTCGCTCTCCAACTTATTTGTACTCACACGAAAGTCTACATTTCCTCCTACGAGCTTACATGCGCCTCTTCGAGTCTTGTGTAAGAGATCCGCAAATGCCAATTGCACAGCAGCGTTTATACGACGAGAACGACGTTATGGCCGGGCTGATTTTCGGGAGAGGGCCCCGTCTGGATATCACCGATCCGGCCACAATTTCGAAGCGAATCGAGCAAATGTCGATCGCGAGCCCTGGAGTGGTTGCCGTCAAGGATGCGGACGGGAACAGCTTCACATACAAGCAGATGCAGCAGCACATTCAACGCGCAGCAGCCGTCCTTCGCATGAATGGGGTTCAAGCCCAGGGCTATGTCGCCGTATGTTGCGAACCGACCCTACATTCCGTCTGTCATCTCTTGGCGATATGGCGCATCAATGCCATATATGTACCGCTCGATCCGCAGAATCCCTTCTCTCGACTCCAACTGATTTTGGACGACTGCCAACCCGCAGCGATCATATACCACGCCCCAACTGAATCGGTCATCCGGCGACTGAATCTCCATTCAAGTACTCCGGTCTCCATCGCCGAGATTGGCCTTGCCCAAACCCAGGCGTATCCGGACGTGTCCCAGTGCGAATCTGCAGCTTGTGTTCTTTATACTAGCGGATCCACCGGAACTCCCAAGGGAATCCTGCTCACGCATGCCAATCTGCTGCATCAGATTCTGGGGGTGCGCCATCGGTTTCAGATAGGCTGTGAAATTGCGCTCCAACAAAGCTCACTTGGATTCGATGTCTCTCTCGATCAGATGCTTCAGCCTCTGGTGGGGGGCGGCTCATTGATTGTTGCCCCGCGCCGTCTACGTGGAGATGCTATTGCGCTTTCTCGGCTGATGCTG